GTACGTCGTGACGAGTTGACCTGTGTGAGTCTTGATCCTGGATGTCTCCATCCAGGGCGGCTTCATCCAGGATAGCCAGTGCCTGGATCATCGTGAAACACTCCACACTTGACACCCAACCACATCTGCACTTGGTCGTCCAGGGCGAACTCTCGTCGATCCTGGTTGGCATGGTTGATCCTGGTGATCATTCATCACACATCACTTGGCGATACTTCGGAGACACTTGTTGACACATTCATAGTCGAGGTTGGTCGCTGTAACACCAGGGCGGCTCAAGTCAGGACAGGTGGCTGCCCGAGATACGTTCTTCCGGGCGCTCTTCTCCCTTCCTGGGGCACCTGTCGTCAGGGTATCGGCGGCTCGGACCGAGTGGTTCACTTCATCCTGGATGGTTCTCGATCCTGAATGACCATTCACCCTGGATGGATATTTACGTGGCAATCTATCCTGGATGAACATTTATCCTGGATGATCACTTCCGAGCCTATGGTCCCTTCCTTGAGCACACAACCGCCAGCTTTTCCTCACTCTGGAACTGCCTCTCTCCATGTCTCACGCAGATGTCAGCTCTGTACTCATTCATCTTAACCAATCAGCACATTGTTCCACTTCCTCACCTCTCCATCTTTCAAAATTGTAATCCACATCGTCACAGTTATCGGGATCGCGCGCCTCAGTCTTGAAGTCGTGCTCGCCGCATTCCGCATCGTGTGTCGTCGGGCGCACCACTTCTCCCAACCGGTTCGGGGTCCTCAAATACTCCAACTCTCCTGCGTTATAGGCATTCTTGTCTTGTTGGCGCTGGAGCGTCTGTCCGGCCAACATGTCCGCACTCGCGTTCCAGTCCCGCCTAACGTGGAGTAATTCATGCTGGAGCCATCCTCGTAGTGTGTTCCATGCCTGCTGTCTCAGCAGCTTTAGCCCGGGCGACTTGCAGTCCATCTCGCCCCGCATCTGACGTATTATCAGTTGGAGTCCCCGCAGATGATCAGTCGCACAACGTCGAGGTCGTCCAACAACGAGATACCGAGCAGCATGCCTCGGTATTCGGCATCGTTTACGGTGAGACCTTCCACATACCCCGATGCAGCTCGAACCACGTCTCAGTTTGGTAGTTTCCATACCATGACGCTGAATGCCCCTCCCTCGCGTTTGACACCAGCAGATCCGTCGAAGCTAATCACGTGCAGATTTTCGGTCGGTCCGATCTTCGGAACCGGGATCGGGGCCGTCCTAGACGTGCGTTTTCGCGGTGCGATCTCTTCTAGCGCAGCGTCGACGTAGGCCCTCGGCGTGATGCTCGCGGCCAATGTGCCCCTGATTTCCTCCTCTCCTTTTACAGATCAGAGAATCACTAACCTCCATGGTGAGAGGATTGCCGCTCATTGCGAAAGTCGTCCCTGGAGACCCTTGGAGCGGAAAAGCCACCCGAGCGTCGTGTATCGGGTTAGGACACGGATCGTCCTTCCCGCAAGCATGTTGTGACATTCATTCAGGACGCGTAGCAGCGCCAGGATTTTTTTCTCAGCGATGCTGTTGTTCAACTCATTGGGCTTCAACGCCCGACTGGTGAAGTTGACAGGCAGGTACACCGCGTCATGGTCTTGGGTCAGGACGGCCGACACTGCCCAGTCACTCTCGTATACGATCACCACCGGCTGTTTATCGGTGTCGAAGTATTTCAGCTTGGGTGTAACCGCGATTTTGCTACGGAGCGTATCAAATGCCCGTTCCGCGTAAGGCCACTTATCCAGATCGCGCGTCTCAGGATTCGAGACCCGCTCTTCAAAATCGCGGGCGGTGAGGGAGTAGAGCGTGGTCGCGTAGATCGCAAAATCCAGGATGAAACGATGGTGTCGTGTAGGACACGATAGAATTCTCACGTTCGGGTGAGTTCCTACCAACAACACACACTTTCCCGCAAGAGTTAGTGATTTGTTGGATCAATACCTGAAGACCAGGAACGATCCCTTACACCGGGTTGGATTAGCCTCTGTGTACCCCGGGTTGCCTTCGGCCAGCCCTTAAGAAACATACCTAGCCACGAACGAGAACTAGGAGGTATATTTAGCGCTCTCGCGCAAACCCACTGCAGTTCCTCAGAATAAGGGTACCGGTTTTCGCAAACCTATTACACGTCACCGAGGGAATCCTCGGTAGGAAGTCTAGTGTATGTGAGAACCC